ATATTTATAAACAAACACGTATTTCCTTGCCTATATCCTCTGGATGGTCCCAGTCACTAAACAGCCCATCTTTGGGTTTGTATTTATGATGTTTTAGTTGCTGAGACTTATTGAGAGAGAACACAGGCTGACTGAACACTAAGCAATTTAATGGTACCAAATGGAGGCCTAATGATAGGATGACAATGTATGTACAAACAGAGGTTCCCTGTAGTTGGAACTGAGAGAAAGGGTGGAAGAGGACATCACGTGGCACACAGTAATACAAGCATATGGACACCCAAAGAACTGGCTTTGGGAGAGAAATTCACTTCCAGCAAATACCCCATCCATCACATTCAAGTAATGTTAATTTGAATTTTATTTATTGTATAGTTTTGTCTTTAATTCATGAGCTTGTTTTGGTCTTACAGTTAAGAGATACAAGTGTAAGAAATTACCACTGATTTTATTTTATACTTAGTTAAGTGATATCAAGGTACTCAAGTGTATGTGGCATTTAATTCAGGATCGGAATTACAGTTTAGATCCTGGCTTATTGAGTGCACTTAATTCAGGTTTGGAATTAGAGTTTAAATCCTGGTTTATTGAGTGACTTTTGGCTTGTTAGTTATATTCAGTTAGTCTTGATTTTCTTCATTTGTTAAATGGGATGACAACAGTTCTCTTATACTGTTGTGAAGATTCAGTAAGTTATCCAGACAAAGAGGTTAACATAGTGCCTGGCTCATTGTGAGAATAAGGTTCTTCTGTATTTACCATATATGTGTTGTAAAAAGCAGAATTATCAAGAGTGCTAAGCATTTGTGAGTTCAAGCACCATATTTTAACTCTCTCCAAACATTTCTACCTGGTTGTCCAGTTGTCAACTCAGATGACGTTTCCTAACCTCATCTCCTCAAAACTGCTTCTCCTTTCGTGTTCCTTATCATGGTTCTGGGTGTTGATGCTGCTGGTCACTCCAACTCAGAGTCCAAGGGGCTCTCCACTCCTTCTCCTCTCAGTCCCCACGTCTAATTGCTCACAGAGTCATGTGGACTCTGTCTCCTGATCCTCCCACATCTCTGCTTTGCTCCCCTTACTGCCATTGGCTGGGTTTACAACCTTGGGCTACTGCCAGAGCATCCTAGCTGGCCTCCCTGTCTTTCTCCATTCATCACACTGCCATTAATAACTAGGTTTTCCCAAACAGACCTCAGTATAAGCACTCCTCATGCCCCACCTACAACTGTGCAGGGTAAGTCCAAACTCCTGAATCTGGCACACAGGCATCTTCCTAATTTAGTCTAACATAACCTTTCTGGTGTCATTTCCTGCACTTTGCCTGAACCACTCTGAACCACAGTGAGCATCTTTCTGTTCCCTAAACCAGTGCTTCTGTATCTGTTGCCTAGAACTTTCTTCTCTCCTTTCTCTACACGAAAACTCCTACTTATCCTTTAGAAACCAAATCAAAATGTCACTTCCTCCCTGTAACTTCCTCAACTTCTGGCCAAATCACTGTCCCACACCAGAGCACACCATGCATTCACATGATTTCAGATTATTTGCTTATGAATCAGTTGGCTCTTCTTCTTCCACCTACCATATAATTGGGACTTCCCCTTGAGGAGACCCTCACCCCCCTTCCAGAACTTTGAATCTGCAGCACTGTACTTCACTGCCAATCAGTATTTGCTGGTGGGGTAGATAAAACCATAAAAGAGCAACTTAAGGATGAACCTTTATCTGCAAACCCAAATATTAGTGCAGTATGTAAATAGATTATATATCACAGAACACAAGATTAGAGGGCATAAGTCCACTCAGTATGCAAGTCATCCCAAATTTTCCTGTATAGATTGACCCGCACCTAACAACTGCTTTTGGTGGCAGGGACACGTGGTGGGTGGCAGTGGACATCTTGGAAGCCGACCACACATGCCTGCTGCTCAAGGGCTAAGAGAATTGGCAGGTGACAGATGACCCTGAGAGTAATGTCTGGAAAAACTCCATGATGTCAATTGTAATTTTCTGCAGAGTTGGGGGATGAGGGTCATTTGATTCTCCTTGTGCTATTAGTAATTTCTGAGGCTTCTACAAGGAGCATGTGTGACTTGTCAATGAGAGAATGGCAGTCTGGCAATTTCTTTTGCCCATGAACTGAAGCAGAGTTGGTGGTGCTGTCTGGCCAGACCCCTTCACACCAACACCAGGTCTTTCCTGGGTGGCTGCTGGCCAGTTGCCATCCCGTGTCAGGCAGCAGTCCTTCAACCCAGTGTAGCAAACACAGACATCATATTATGGGCCAGATACTCTTCTAAGCACTTTGCAAATACTAACTCATTTAATTCTCATAGCTGTGTAATTGTAGCTGTGAAGAAGATACTATTATTATTCCTGTTTCACCAATAAGGCAGTTAAGGTCATTCTGGGATATGTTTTTCTTCACATGTGCTGTCTACTCCCTCCCTATCACATGCTCTTCATTCCTTCCCTATCACATATCAGAATTTCTCTTTTAAAATTATCATGAAAGCCCGAGTTCCTCCATGTTCCCTTAGCATCTTTTTAATGTACAGTTCTTACTACATTGTGTAATAAACACTATGTCTGTTTTCCTGCAGGTAAACTTGGGCACTTGACTTAATTTTAGTTTCTTCCCCTTGTAAAATGTGACTAGTAATTCTTAACTCCCAGAGTAGCTGTGAGGATGAAATGGCACAATATTTGGGCCTTTTGCCCAGAAAATGAGCTTCTCTACCTTGACTGTGTGTATTGCTTGATGGAGTTGCTGACACAGGACAGATAGGTCTTATCCTGAGGGAAAGTGAGGGGCAGGGGAGGAGGAGAAACCAGGAACACCCAAAGTCAGGGCTGGGCAGCGAGAAGAGAGCTCAGCATCCCATTGCCTCCTGGAAGTCTATGGCGGTGACAGCTGAGCAAAGACCTTTGGGTTCTGTCATTGGTGGTGTATTTGAGACTGCCTTCAGTAGGTGTGGTGAGCTGGGAGGCAGATTGCAAGTGGTTAAGGAGTGGGTGGAAAGGAAATGAGCACCGCGGGTGTAACCGCCTCTCTTTCAGGAAGGCAAGAGAAGAGCTAGGGCAGTAGCACGGCCAGAAGAAGGGTTCTTGGCCTGAATGTGTCCACAGGCAGGAGAAAGAAGACCCTTAGAAGAGGAGGAGTGGAGAGAATGTCTTTCTTCCTATCCTGGCTGAAGCTTAGTTCATGCCCAGAGTCCTTGTTGCCCCCTCATGGACTTGGCTCCATTATTTGTGTCATCACTCTGCAGCTGGGACATCCCAGGGTTTAGTGGGATTTGGGGGGTCACTGAGGTTTTGGGGTAATGCATTTAACTTGTCTGAGCTGCAGTTTCCTCATCTATAAAATGAGGGGCTTTGTGAGCCTAGAATGAAATAACATCTATTAAGCGTCAACTACAGTATCTTGACTGTTGTGTCCTTTAACCTTCTTTTAGAGACAAGATGAAAGAGAAAAGGATGTAGAGTACTTTTGACCTGAGCAGAAAGAAGAAATTGGGGGTGTGCCTGTGGGGTGGCTGTTCCCTCCTCTTTATAGTGGTGAACGAGATTGTCTGCTGGGATGAGGGCAATGGGAAGGGTTTGTCATTCTGAAGACCCACCAGAGGTGTTCATGGGTTCCATGTACCCACCAGAGATACACAGAAGAACTGAGGAGCAGCAGTAAGGCCGAGCTAAGCAGAGAGAAGAACAATAGGATTTTTTTTTTTTTTATCTTCTTCAGCCAAGTGTGTAAGAATAGGGAAAGGTATGGCTAGGACTCAAGACAAACTTGAGAGAACACAAAAATATCAGGGGACTTGAGAGACAGAGACAGAGAGAGAGAAAGAGAAGTGGGGGGAGGGAGAGAGAGCAGGGAGAGGACGCTCTGGTGAAATGACCTCCGGAGTGGTCTAGTCGGGTGTCAGATGGGAGCTGATGGTCTGGGAGAATGGGCAGATCCGAAAGTCTTCTGGTGATGCGAGGAGGCTGAGCAGGTTCTGGGCAGTAGGGTAGGGCGCCCAGAGATTGTGACCACAAGGGAATTTGAGAATATTAGATGAAGCAGTTTTGAATGATCAGTCCAGAGGATGGCTGGGTCACCCCAAATGCTGCAGTGTTCTTCATTTTTCTACTTTTCCTTCTATTCTTTATCATATGAATATCTATCCTTTCCTGGCTCCCCAAGGAACTGTAGTCTTTACACAGGTTCTTGTGTGGAATGTATCAGTTAATGCCATTCAGGAAACCTTTTTTATTTCTCTTTGTGTTTTTAATAATTTGTAATGTTTATCGCTTATGTTTGCACGTACTACTTCATATTCTTTGGGATTTTTCCCTCTGATTTATCTCAGAAGTGAGGTTACTAAGCTCAGGGGTGTGGATGATTTGGTGTGGGGGATGGTTGGGTCGGGGTGGGGTGGGGTCCTGATGTGCCAGGAGTTAAATGTCACAGGCAGATTTGCAGTGAGCTGGGAGGGAGGGTGACAGGGGAAATGAGTAGAACATTTGACAATAGAGTTTGCAAGGGGGGCTTTCTGTAAACACCTGAAGTCCACCTCACATCCTCCTGAGTTCTGTATGCTAGGGGGGAAGTGTAGCTGGCTGGCACTAGCATCTGTGATCAAGTACATGGAGTTGATTGGTTTGGATTTCGATGTTTCCTTTTGGGGGGCTGTCACCAAGAAGGTGAGGAAGTTAAAAAGATGTGTCTGAGAGGTGAAAGTAACAATAAAAGGGAGCCCATTTCTCTGCTGTAAGGTGTTTTGGGGAGAAGGATTGGAAAATTTCATCTCTTGAAATAAAAGGACTTAATCATTTTGATTATAATCCTCACAGTATTAGTATTTTAAACAGTTTTAACAATAAAGGGAGACATTAGATAATTATTAAGGAATTTATAATATTTTGAGACAGTGATTTCACCAACAAATACTACTAATAACATTTTTTCTTATATCTTATTATTGTAATGGTTCTCCCTTTTTTCCTTTTAACAGAAAAAATACAGAAAAGGATTTATTGATATTTCAAAAATCAAATGTGTGGAAATAGTGAAGAATGAAGACGGTGTCATTCCCTGTCAAAATAAATATCCATTTCAGGTGAGCTGGCAAATTTTTGTGACAATGCAGTTCTGGACTTTTAGCCATGCTTACTATTTGACATTACAGTTTCCTATCATTGTTTTGGTGGTTGATTTTTAAAATAATTTTTCTGCCATACTGAGGTATAATTGACACATAGGAATTGTATATATTTAAGTTGTACAACTCGATGTCTTGATATAGATATACATTGTGAAATGATGACAATCAACCTAACTTAATTAACATATCTACTTCACATCGTTACCATTTTCTTTTTTCTTTTTGAGGTGAGAACACTTAAGATCTGCCTCCTAGCAAATTTCAAGTATACAACACAGCATTGTTAACTATGGTCACCGTGTTGTACATTAGCTCTCTAGAATTCATTCAGCTTGCAGAACTGAAACTTTGTACCCTTTGACCAATATCTTCCTGCCCCTGCCTCTGGCAACCACCTCTACTTCCATGAATTTGACCATTTGAGATTACACAGATGATCCACATGATGCAGCATTTGTCTCTCTGTGCCTGGCTGATTTCACTTGGCATAGTATCCTACAGGTTCATACGTGTTGTTGCAAGTGGCAGAGTTTCCTTCTTTTTTAAAACTGAATAGTATACCATTTGTGTGTATGTGTATGTGTGTATATATATTCACAGAAAGGTAGTTTTTCTTTATCCATTCATTCGCCAATGGACATTTAGGTTGTTTCCATGTCTTAGCTATTGTAAATAATGATGAAATGAACATGGGAGTGGAGGTATCTCTTCAAGATTAGGTTTCATTTCCTTTGGATATATACCTAGAAGTAGGATTGCTGGGTTATATGGTGGTTTATAGGTTCATTTATCACTTTAATAGTAATTGTACTTCTTCATGAACTACTTACATCGTGGTTGTAACTTTTTCTTATTCTTGTTTTGGTTGGTTAGAGTCCATCAATGTCCTGAATTTTCTAAAACCCAGACCTAACCTGCTATTATTTAGACTTAGCACAGAGCAGTTAGGATGAGGAATGGGGGCTGAGACTGGAAAAGTGGATGAGGTATTAAGAAGCCAAGAAAAGTAGGAGTGAGCTATTTGAGCAGGAATGAGATTAAAAATCTGCTTGTGATGCAAAACAAAATATTAGCATTATGTATCGATTAAACTGTAATTTTAAAAAAACTTACCAAGTTATTTTTTTCTTCATAGTGATCCTATTGTGTAAGGGAGCTAAGTATCATACTCTCCTTATTTATGACTGAGGAAATTGAAGCTTTCCGATGTTGAGTGACTTGTCCAAGGTCACTTTGGGAGTTAAAAGCCTCTCTGGAACACACACACATATATCCTTACTCCCCAGGAGGATGGCTGTGGCATCATGAGCCATTTTGCATCCACACAGGATGTTGGTGCACACAGGCCTCATGAGCTCGGGAGTCGGGCCCTGACATTCCAGAGCTCGCAGCAGACGGTGCAGAACCCTGTCCAGTGCCTCACCACCCCCATCTCTGGTCACTTCACTGCTTTGTATCTGTTTCCTCTTCTAAAAAATGAGAATAATAACAATAATAGTGCTCACTTCCAGGGGTTGTTGTGAGGATGAAATTAGGTGACATATAAACAACTCAGATAAACAGTGAGAGCAAGAGGGGTGTTTGTGGCTGTTACTATTTTCTTGTTACTTCTCTTTCTACTGCTGTTGCTATCAGCACTACACCCACCACTCAGATCTAGATGTGAGCCTGATTTAAATCTCCTTGGTTAGGTCTGTTGAGTGTATATATAAGGGTGGATGTGTGTGTCTGTGTGGCTATAGATCAAAGGTTCCTATACAACCCCCCTCCCACCTGGGTTTGATTAATTTGCTGGAGCAGCTCACAGAATTCAGAGAAACATTTTACTTACTAGATAACCAGTTTATTTATAATGAACTAACTGAGATATAACTGAGGAACTACCAGATAGCAGAGATGCATAGGGCAATGTGCGGGGAAGGGATGCAGAGCCTGATCCCCAAATCTCCATGTTTCACCAACCCAGAGGCTCTCTGAACCCTCTCGTTTTTGTTTTTTTACGGAAGCTTCATTACACAGGCATGACTGATAACATCATTTGGTCATTGAACTTGATCTCCAACCTCTTTGCTTTCCAAAAGTCACCTCACTAGATAACAAAAGACATCTTTATCACTCTCAGCACTGGAAATTCCAAAAGTTTTAGGAGCTCTGTGCCAGGAAGGCAATGAAGACAAAACACGTATTTCTTATTTTAAATCACAGTATCACAGGTGTGAAAACCATGAACTAAATGAGGCAACATCCATCCGTACATCTCCCTTAGCACTTTATCTTTACCTCTCTACCATGTCTTACTTTCTATCTTGTAATAAGGTATTTCTACCGATGTTTTGGAATAGGCTTCATTTGATTTATTTTGTAGCTTTTGCAGTTCCAGGACAGTGTTAGTTGGATGAATTAATCACTGAATGGAGCATAGCATTATTTGTTTTATATGCTCATATTGCTGTCAGGCTTCATTTATTTGATTAAAATGAATGTGAAGGAATTATCTACTGAATATAGTCAGGAACAGCTATTTATCAATGAAAGAGCTATTTGTGTTCCATCCACTGGCTGTTGACGTGGTGGAGGGAGGTTTCTAGCTATATACTTCTTTTTAGCCACCCAAGGTATATCTGCCTCATGGCTGACCATCAAGGGGTAAAATGGCAGACCAAAAACAAAATTCTTGGGTTAATTTCCCAGGCTTTATGTTGTTATTAATATTAAAAATACTAAAAATGATATTGTTTAATTGCTCACCAGGAGTTACCTTTATAAGAGGGACTGTGGTTAAAAGTTTGGGCTCTGAAGTCGGATCCTGGCTTTCTAGATTCCCAGCTAAATGATGATGGGTAGGTTAAGTAGCATAACATTAGGGGACACCATTTGCTGTACATTCTGTGTGACTGGAGGGTCTGTGATAAGCCTTAATCTCTTCCTCTGTAAAACAGAAATCTGGTTGGATTATCTGAGTTGGATTACCTTGATGGTAGGATTATCTGAGTTAATGTCTGTAAAGCACATAGCATAGAGTTGGGATGACTGGTGCTTAATGAAGTTAGCTACTGCAATTATTTATGGAGGTAAAAGGAAGCAATTATTTATGGAGGCAAAAGTGACTCTGTAAGAGTAGTCCATTCATCTAAAATATTACTGAAAAAATATTGGATTAGAATTATTAAAAATAATATTGGATTAGAATAATCCCTGTTACACCAAGTTTACCTAAGTAACTCCGTAACTCCAGTTAGTTACACTGCAAGAAGGAACAAGATTAGTGAAGCATCCTGGCCTCTGTATATGTCTTTCTTCTATAAAAACACAGTCCTTTGCAAAATGTATATCCCACTCAGTGTAGACATGAAGAAATAGGTGTGCTTTTGTAAGAAAGGAATCTAGGTTCTTTGGATTTGAGGTAACTGACTTTTATTAGATGATTCCAGAGTCATTTATTGGTGCCTGTAGTACAGAGGGCTCTGTGCTAGACAAAAGTGCTATGTCTAAGTATTTCTCATCTATTCCATCTTTTGTTTTGTTTTAGGTTGTTCATGATGCTAACACACTTTACGTTTTTGCACCTAGTGCACAAAGTAGGGATCGGTGGGTGAAGAAGTTAAAAGAAGGTAAAACTCATATAGTGAAATACTAATCTGTACATACTAACATTGTTATCACTAAAAGAAGTAAAATGTATCTTGCATTTATGATCTTTTAATCTACAATAATGTTTCTCCAAGGACATTCTGTTACTGTAATACATGTTGAACATAACTTCCTTTTTTTATATTTGATTCTTTCTAGTGTCGTATATATAGTTTCTAAGAAAAACATGCTTTAATTTAATGTATAATACATTTGAAGATGATAAAGCACTAGACTTTTATGATAACAGGATTTAGTATTTTCTGAGAAATTGCCTATGTAGTTAACATTTGGTGTAGATGAATTGACTTGTCCATAGTGTTTAAATGGGTGATTTGTTCTGCACAATCCTCATAAATTCTTTGGTAGAACAAACTGACTTTTGTGTTTATCCATCACATTATAGCAGAGGTCAGTTTTGCTAACAAAGGTACTTCACCAAAACAAGGAAGTGAGAGAACATTTGGATTTTTCTGAATGCTGTATTATGTGATGTTATGAGAGTGTTCACATAATAAACATTGAATCCAAAAAGCAAAGAATGATTGATGGTGTTACTTATGAAAGGTTCTGTCTAAATGATTTCACTAATCATTTAATGTGTCTATGAATTACAGAAATAAAGAACAACAATAATATTATGATTAAATATCATCCTAAATTTTGGGCAGATGGAAGTTATCAGTGTTGCAGACAAACTGAAAAACTAGCACCTGGATGTGAAAAATACAATCTTTTTGAGAGTAGTAAGTATTCATTTTATTCTATAATTATATTGTTCTCAGAATGTACATATTATTAGTACAGGTTTCTGTTACCTGAAAGCAGAATGTTTCAGTGAAGCCTTTCATAAGTCGAAATGGCATGAAGTGAAGAAGCAATTATTATTTTATATAATAGAAATTATTTTATATTAATATAAACCATTCATTTATATGGAATACATTTTGACCATTCTCAGACCCCAAAAATACCCTCTCTTAGACTTTTCTGATACATTAGGACATATCTTGCTAACAGATGCACAAAATAAATCCAAGTAAAGTACAGATACTCACAGGCACAGCTCAAAGCTATGGAGGCTGGATGCTGAGACTGAGATGCTGAGTATAGTTCCCGGGGAAGGAGCCTGGTGGGGCCACTCTCACTGCTCAAGGAGCTGCTCTCCCTATAAAGGCTCGCTACCAAATAGATACTGAGCCCTATTTTCACCTTTTTTCGTGAGACTGAAAATCCTCTTCAGGTTTCTTTTGGTTGGCAAAAGCAGGTATAATACGACTTTTGTAAAAGTGAAGTGGTGTATATCCAAAAGACAAGAAATAGCATGTGTTGGTGAGGATGTGGAGGAAAAGGAACCCTGCTGTGCTGTTGGTGGGAATGTAAATTGGTGCAGCCACTGTGGAAAGCAATATGGAGGCTCCTTAAAAAACTAAAAATAGAAAAACCATATGACCCATAAATTCCACTTCTGGGATTTACCCGAAGAAAACAAAATCCCTGATTCTAAAAGATATATGCACCTCTATATTCATCACCTTATTATTTACAATAGCCAAGTTATGGAAGAAACCTAAGTGTCCATCAATAGATGAATTGATAAAGATGTGGTACATATACACAATGGAATATTATTCAACCATAAAAAAGAAGTCCTGCCATTTGTGACAATATGTATGGACCTAGAGAGTATTATGCTGAGTGAAATAAGCCAGGAGAAAGACAAATCCCGTATGATTTCACTTATTCATGGAATCTAAAAACAAAACAAAACAAAATGAACAAAATAGTGGTAGACTCATATACACTGAGAAGTGACTGGTGGTTACCTTGGAGAAGGGGATGGGTGGTGGAGAGAAGGTTGAGGGGATAAAAGGGCAGAAAAATTCTGTATCAATACAAGTTGGTCACAGGGATAGTAGTACAACATGGAGAATATAGTCAATGATTCTCTAATATCTTCCTTTGTTGTCAGTAACTGCAGTAGTGGGGGTGAGGATTTAATAATATGGGTAACTATTGAACCACTGTATTGCACACTTGAAACCAATAGAAGATTGTCAATGATACTTCAATAAAAAATATGAAAAAGTGAATTGGTATAACACATACTGTTGAACAATGGGGGATACCTATATAGCGAGAAAGAAACATGATCTGAGAGAAACAGATTCTATTCTGTTTCTGAATTTGACTTTTATTTATTTTTTTTAAGATTCCACTTATCAGTGATACCATGTAGTATGTGTCTTTTTCTGTCTGGCTTATTTCATTTAGTATAATGCCCTTCAGGTTTCATCCATGTTGTCACAAATGACAGGATTTCCTTCTTTTTTTAAGGCTGAATAATATTTCATTGTATATATGCACCATGTTTCCTTTATCCATTCATCTGTTCATGGACACTTAGGTCATTTCCATACCTTGGCTATTGTGAATAATGCGACAATGAACATGGGAGCCATAGACACCTCTTTGAGATACTCATTTTGTTTCCTTTCTATCTACACTTAGAAGTGGGATTGCTGAGTCATGTGGTAGCTCTATTTTTAATCTTTTGAGGAACCTCCATCCTCTTTTCCATAGTTGCTGCACCAATTTACCATCCCATCAACAGTGTATATGGGTTCCCCTTCTCCACATCCTCACCAGCATTTGTGATCTCTTGTGTTTTTGACAGTAGCCATCCTAGGTGTGAGGCAATATTTCATTGTGGTTTTGATTTGCATTTAGCCGTGTTGAACACTTTTCTGTGTATCTGTTAACCATATTTGTATGTCGTCTTTGGATAATGTTTGTTTAGGTCCTTTGCCCATTTTTAACTGAGTTATTCTTTTTTTTTTGTTATTGAGTTTTATAAGTTCCTTATGTATTTTGAATATTAATCCCTTATCAGATGGATAGTTCGCAAATATTTTTTCTCCTTCTGTAGGCTGCCTTTTTATTTTGTTGATGGTTTCCTTTGCAGAGCAGCTTTTCTATTTGATGTAATCTCACTTGTATATAAAGAGTAAGATGTCCTTAATCCCTATGACATTTATAGCCTGTTCAGGAAGACAGAAATACAAACCAGTTTTAATTGCATTTAAGAACTCTGTTCTAAAACACTGATACAAGCAACAGGCACCAGAGTGAGTCAGAGCAGACTTCTTGTCTGTGTGTTCATTTTCAGTTTTCCTTAGAACTGTCAGTCATTGGTAGATGGCATTTTGACCTATTTTTGTTACTGTCATTTTTAGGCATAAGAAAAGCACTACCTCCAGCACCAGAACCAAAGAAGGTAGGTGGTCTTTAACTTTTGGAGACATTTTCAGTTTATTAAATATGTTTATATTTGTTCATGTGATACTGTGTCCCACCCTGCACCCACACCAATCATATCAGAAAGAGATATGCTATGTCTAACTTGATTTTTTTTCTTGGTGTCAAATAGTATTAATTTAATTGTATCTGATATTATCACTGGGGACACTATTATCACCTGGCATTCTGCCTGTATTTTGGCTTCAAGAATTGTGTAAGAGCTGTGAGACTTTAAAGGAATAGTTCAGTCTTCAGACCACAGCATGACAAAGGAGTGACTGCAGTGACTTAACATATGCCTTCAAAGAGTTAGGTATGGTGGAAAACACATGTCCTTTGGACCCAGACAGGACCTGATCCAACCTGAATCCAATAGGAGTGACTTTACATGGGTTACTTAAATCATTGTTTCCTCAGTTGTAAAATGGAAATTACATACTCTACTTCATGGGATTAGAATGCAGAGAAAATGAGGAGGTGTGTGTGAGGTGCAAAGTATGTGCTTTGCACATCGTAGGCACAAAGAAATGCCAGCTCTTTTGAGTGGGAGGAGACCTGGTAAAGGACCGCCCCCCACAGTGTGCTTCCCCACTGCAGGCCGACTGAGTGGCGGGTCTGCCTTCAGTCTTCCTGTTCATTAACATGTGGAAGTGCCAGCCCTGACGCTGAGCAGAAGCCTTTTAACTGTAGAGACAGTTTTTGCTCATGTGCTATTTTCTGAAACCCATGAGAGGTCCAGTAGCACCAACACCATTGCACTCATGGGAGGCTTCCCCTGAGTGCACGAGGTGAACTTGAGGTTCCGTGTTATTCCGTGGTGATGTGCAAACTATTTCTGTTTCCCTTCACACCTGGTTTCAAACAGAAGACTGAATTTCACATTTGTCCCCTTTTCTTAGCGAAGGCCTCCTCCACCAATTCCACCTGAAGAAGAAGATAATAGTGAAGAAATAGTTGTAGCTATGTATGATTTCCAAGCAACAGAAGCACATGATCTCAGATTAGAGAGAGGTCAAGAGTATATCATCTTAGAAAAGAATGATGTTCATTGGTGGAAAGCAAGAGACAAATACGGGTAAGTATTCCCTCTCTGTGTATGACACACAGTGAGTAGGTGGGAGTTGAGTGCTGAGTAAGAAGAGGATAATCTGTAACTATCAAGAATTAGACTGGCTCAGCCGGCCAAAGGTGAGAGTCAGTACACATTACATTGCAGTAACACAGTGGATTCTTAGTAGTTGACTCAATAAATGTTAATGGATCAACCACCTCTTTCCAAAATCATAATACATTTCGTTACACTGGTCTCTTTCTCATCCATCATACAATTATTTGGATTATTTTGATCTTGGGAGATATTATATTTTATGTTTTTCTTTCACTACGGTAAGTAATCTTAGATTTTTTTCCTGAGAGAATTTATGTGGGTGTGGGTGTATAAAATGCATACATACACATAATGTGCAACAGATTTTAAACCAAGCATTATTTATACAAGATAAGATTTAAAGGAACAGTACTTTCAACCTTACTATTAATAAATAACAGCTAAATATGTGTAAACTTAGGGGATGAGTATCTTTTAAGCTTTATTAAGAAAACTCTGTGTCCTGTCTTTACCTCTGAAATAAAATCCTGTTTTTGTTCTGAGTTCCCATGGATAAGAAAAGGAGGACTTTTGTCCAGGCCAGAGCATACCCTTGCTCCACGTCTCTTTACCACCTCCCTACCCATTTCCAGTTCTGTGTTCTTCAGGTCACTTCTGGAGAAGGAGAGGAAGTCTCTGGGTTAGGCAGGTCCTTTTGCTCGTTCCTCATCAGCAGTTCACCTCCTGAGTGCAGGTTTGCTGTGCATTATTACCTTCTTGGGAATTCTTAACCTTTTATTCTATGTTTTCAAGAACGTCATCACTGCTTTCCTTTGCCAAACACTGCAAAAGTTTTCTTTTTTCTTTTTTGTTATAGAAAATTTCAAACGTCCATAAAAGTACATAATAGAATAGTGGAGCCTCATGTCACTTGACTTAAAAAATTACCAACATTTTGCCAGTCTTGATTTTCCAATCCTCCCAATTGTTTTTTTTATAGAGTATTTAAAATTAAATTCAAATCATCATGTCATTTCACCCTTAAGTCTAACTGCTGAAAATTTTTTATTTTAAACAACTACCATGTCATTATTATACTTAGTAATGGTTTTTAAAAAATATCTGCATGGACTTTCCCCAAACATTCTCAGGACTGGAAGAAGAGTGCAGATGAAACTCACAGATCACATATCTAAATATTTAGAAGTTATAAGTTAAGTTAGCAAAGTGGTAAATAAAATATAATTTACCCTCCAATTTGACAGACATACTACAAAATGACAAGGAAAACAGGGTTTCAATTAGAGTGGCATTAGAGTGGCATGCCCGGTGTGTGACAGGGCGCTGGGGGCCAGACCCTGGGGCGCTTTGCTTCCCTTCTGCCCCAGGTCCCATCGCATATGTGTGGCTCTCCATCATATATCCAGGCTCTGTCCACATGATTTTCCAAAGCCACCCTCCGGCTTGGCCACCCTTTGGACCTTGGCAGGAGGTGGGTGCACACAACTAGCATAATTTACTTTTCAGAGGATGAACCAGTGAAAGAGCCTGTACAGGCCTCGGCAATAGACAAATAATTCTGGGGTCCTAGAAGAGGGCTGGTCTAGATGGTGGTCTAGAAGACGGTGAGCAGACATAGGCTTTTAGCAGGTTTTTGAAAATATGAGGTCAGAGCAGGGGCCTTTCTGGGCCAAGTCTAAGAATGGTACCAAGCATGTAATTCCTGTTTCGCCTGCTTGAAAGAAGGTTCCCATGTTACATCTTGACAGATATGTCTCTCTGTCTCTCTCATTCTACAATAGTCCCCACGTACCCACTCCTTTTTTTTTCATTTTTGACTTACTGATGAAACCAGGTCGTTTACTTGTGAAATGAGCCGCAGTGTAGATTCAGCTAATTGCTTCCATACTGTGTCATTTAATATGTCTCTATGTCGTATTTCCTATAAACTATAATCTGAGGCTTGATCCCACTAGCAGTTGATAACTTATCGTTCTGCTTCGGGCTCTGGGAGGATTGCTGTCTAGCTGTGGGCTTCATTCCTCCACCCCAGAGTTCTTCATCAATGTTCACCTAATGATTTTGGCATCTGTTAATTATTCCTTGGATCTGTTATTTCATTAGGGATTGCAAGATGGTGATTTTCTAATTCTGTCATTCCATCTGCATTTATTAACATTCCAAAGCAGAACTGCCTCCTCAAACCAGTTCATTAGTTCATGCAGGAAAAGCAAGAGAAATCCCTGATTGTTTCACCAATTTTCAGAATAATGTGCTGGTAACTGAATTTCCTCTAGTGACAACAAGTAACCAGTAACTTTTTGAAGTGTTGTTACTGATGTGTATGTATTTGGTTTCAGTCCGTGACAGACGTTATTCTTTTTGCTTCAATTGTCCTGTCTTAGGTCAGTGGTAGTTGTTTTGGGTTGGGGACCCCTTTTTTTTCTTAGCATCCTTGCTTTCTGGGTAAAATAAAATGGCTGAAGTTTATCTATTATTTTTCCTGGCCCAACCTTCAATTTACCACTTTTCCATAGCATGGAAAATGCTGGATCCTTATAGTCAGAAATACTATTTAGAGACAACTGGGGTGCCAGGATTCTAACTGCTATTGAATTACTTCTAGGCCTGTCTGAGTGCAGCAGAGCTGCATATATGCACATGTGTGTGTGTGTCTGTGTGCTGAGTTCCTACTAAGAGTTCAAATTTAAGATTACAAGATTTTTGCTAACTTAAAAATTTTATGTATGTATCTCTTTTATGCTGAATGTCTTGGCTCCTATCAAGAATCTGCATACCATGAGGGCTTCCTCTTGTAACTAAATTTTTTCTGAAATTTCTAAATTGTTTCTGGTTTTACTGAAGTATGGTTGACACATAAAAATCACAAATGTTTAAGGTGTACAGCATGCTGTTTTGCTATGTGCATACATTATGAAACAAGTACACAATCAAATTAAAACATCTATCACCTCACATGTTACCTTTGTGTGTGTGTGTGTGTGTGCGTGTGGTAAGAGTGTTTGAGATCTACTCTTTAGCAAATATCAGGTATGAGTGCTTCGAAACTGTGATGTGCATAAGAGTCATCTGGGGTAAATTTGAAAATTCCTTTGCCCTACACAGGCCTTCTCAATTCACATCTTGTGGGGTAGACCCATGAATTTGCCTTTTTAACAAGAGTCCCCAGATGATACTGATGTAGAGGTGAGGGACCACCCTCTTTGAAACAGTACTGTACCTGGCTTGTTGAGGTATTGAAGGGATACTTTTTTTTAATCCAACACTTTCACTTTTCTGAAGTAGTGATTTCTTTGAAACATGCCAAGAAATTGTGAATTTAAGAGAAGTACCATCAAATATTAGAAAGGGCTCTGAATCTAGTCACAAGTTTAGAGTTCAAGTTCTGGCCCTGTTGCTGGCTAACTTTGGGACTCAGAGAAAGTCCCTTGATCTTTCTAAATAAGTCTTAGTTTTCTCCACCAGAAAGTGGGTGCAGTAATGTCAGCCTACCTCACAGTTTTTATAAGGATCAAATAAGGAAGTGCTTTGTAAACTGTGAAATGCTATAGATATACTGGATTGTTGGTGACTAGCTAATCTTTCCCATAAGCTTTAGGCAATATTATGCTTTAATTATTTCAGGAAGGCAATAATTTATCTTTTAATAACCTCTCAGTAAAATCATTTCAGTTCATCTAAACTCTTCTTCCTCTTTCTAGGAGTGAAGGCTATATCCCAAGTAATTATGTAACAGGAAAGAAATCAAACAACTTAGATCAATATGAGTAAGTAAATGGTTGTTTTGTGACTATGAAGAACCAGAAATATTTTCATTTTCCTAATTATATAAAGGACTTTGGAGATTAATGGATACCTTTTATTATCTTTAGAAGGTGGAACTAACATATCCTTTACTCAGTTGTCTAAGGTGGTAAAAGAGGTTGTGAGAATTAGTTTCTATAATACACTTTACCTGAAGGTACTATGAGTAAATGAGGTTACAGAAGTAAGACAGTTGAATTGATTTTAAATAAATTGCAGCTTAGCTGACTGAAATACAGATCATTTTTCTTTCATTAAAGAAATCAGAATACTGTTTCCCAGAAGGCCTTTAAAAATTTTTTTTGAATTTTCTTTTTTCTAATTATAATAACAATAAAGTATTATTGTTTTAAAATTGTTTGAAAATATGTAAAATGTTGATAAGAAAAATTACTCCTGAATAAACTAGAATTGACCTCTGTAAACATTAGTATAGTTTCTTTCAATCTTTTAACTATATTTAAAAAAAACAATCATACTATATATACTGTTTTATATCCTGTTTATTCCATTTAACAGTATATTGTGAGTGTATTTCCTCTTGACATTAAATATTCTTTGAAAACATTTTCATAACTGCATTATAGTTCATTCAGTCAGGAATTTATCAAATGTTTACTGAGATCTTAGCATGTATCAGACACTGCCTATGGCATATGGATATGCAGTTGTTTGTACAATTGTTTTCTTATTTGTGGGGCATTATGTTATTGAGGCAAAACTGGGATAACCTTTTTCTGCTTATTGTCCTCAACTAGATTTCTAAAAATGTATGTATGGGATAAAAGCTAGTTATGAACTTAAGACTTCTAATGCATGCCATCAAATTGTTTTCCAGAGACAGTGGTGGGTATGGTATTTATATGGCAGTTAGCACTGCACGGCCAGGTTTTAATAGAGGCGCTTATGTACCAAATGCTCTTTTGTGGTCATTCTGAGGTGGTCACTCTGATGATTCATTCACTTCTTTAAAAATACCACCACACCACCACCACCAATACAAAGCTGTTTTCTCCTTCATGTCACTTCTTGTAGTGTGAGTGTCCCTCAAGATCTAGAAAAGGATTAATAGGCTCAAAAGTCACAGCACTCAGTGCTGTGATCCTCAAAGTTGGTTTAGAAGTAGGTGAGGGTTTAAAAACCATGTAAATAAAATAGTGTTTCTGTTCTTAAATAAATTTTAGGAAAGTAGGGCCAGATCTTCAGAATTGGGAAGATGCTGCCAGGCAAAAAACTTGGACCTGACTTTGAAGTGATCGGACTGAGGACTAGCTGATCATATGCGAAGGGCTGTGCTTGGAAACCAGATAATCCTTATCTAAATGTGAAAACTCCCCTTATGACTCGTGGGATTACAAATCAGGATTTTATGAAATTTTTGATTCATTGCCCTGAGCTTTTTGGATATATCTAAATTTGGAAATTTCCTCTCTTCTGAGGACTCTTCTCCTCTGTGTACTAAATGAGCTTGCTGCAGACAGCCTGTGGTGTAGGAGTCCCCTTGGCCATCTGCCCAGAGGCCAGGGATTCTACATGGCCTTGCGTCATGCCCAGCTACACCAGAGAGGGGAAACCTCTTCTCAGTGTGGGCAGAGATGCCCCTTCTCTCCGGCTGTCTTCCCACCCATGGTTTGTGCAGTTTTTTGCAACTGCCCGTCTTGTAACACATCTTAAATTTCCCGCAGTTAAAAAGCCTTTTTTCAGCTGTTGAATCTTGAGTTCTACTGTTTGGGTCTAAGGGGTGTCCCAGGCAACAGATCGCCCACTGGGCCGGACTCGGGGCCTGTCAGCACAGTCCTGACCTCTGCAACCATGGTGCCGTGTGGGAAGGAGAGGAGCAGCCGGACTCCTGCTGGAAAGAAAGAGGCTCACTGTGATGGCCAGGAAGGTGCTCCTGGTGGAAAGGTGTTAAAGGAAGAAGGGGACAGAAATGAAAGGGCCCTCAGAACAGGGAAAAGCCTAGGATAAGGCTTCAAGGGGGTGGCCCAGGAGACGAGGGCCATGCTGGAGAACTGACAAGAATTTAGAGCTGGTTGGTTGGTTGGTTTCTATTTTTCCTTCATTTATCCCTATTGTCTTCTTTTTTACAATTTACCCAGGAAGCTTGGCCAGAATCTGACCTTTCCAGAAAGGATGGCATATCCCCAAATGTCCTTTTCCCCACCATTCAGACACCACTTTGAAGTCCTGTTCCTCTGGAGGGTCTTGAAGTGACCAGTCAATCTGAAAACCTCACTGACATGGGGCTTTTGATATGTAAGAACAGAATGACAAGTTACTCACAACCCTGGGCATTCTTCCTACATACATAGTTCTTCAGTCAGAAGGCGCTAACTCAGTATAACAGGCATTTCTGTGTGTGGATAGTTCTGCAGGCTGGCTTCTGCCGAGCCACTGCTGTCTTTCCCTTTTTGCCTGGTGACAGGATTAGTACAAGAGGAAGAGAAACCACAGAGTCATTAGGAAATGCTCACACGGGTTTATTCATCTATTTATTTGTTTACCATTCCTCCCTCCTTTCCTTCCTGCAACAGACCATTAAAGGTCTGAGTTTATATTCTAGGGAGGGAGATATCCTTTGTGGGGAATCTGCAAATGCGGTAAGAATGACCTCTCGAGCAGGATTTCAAAGAGCCTGCCCTTTATGCAGTGGTGTCCTTTGTTTCCCTTATTTCCTGTAGGTCTTCCCAGGAGCTTAAATATGCGAGGTGAGGAAAGGACCTCTTTCTTTCTCAGAGTATCTTGTGTCTAATTTCCTCTTGAGAGCCACAATTTAGCTTTCTTGCATCTGAGTGTGAGATGAGGTCAGCTGTTTACTCTCACTGTGGAGGTGTAGGGTTGGATCTTTTTTTTCTTCAGTTTTTCAGGTCCTGCTGGCTTCTAATGCCTAAGGAGAACTCCAGTTCCCTTTCCTTAATTAATTTTTATGGCTTTTTGGCATCAGGACAAATGTTTCTTGTATCAACAGAAAAGCTTCAGGGACAGAATTCATTCCGTTCTCATTTATTGCATTTCTCAGTTGTGTTCAGAAATTGATTAGACTGCAGTTTTGTTGAACTTGGTCTCAGTTCCTAACGTGGGGTCCACAGCAATGAGATCTTCAATGCCCACAACTCTGAGGCCTGGTTAATCACCTCAGGCACCAAAGAAAATAAATCATCAGCTTGTGTTGCGATTGTAATTTATGTTTGTTTGGCTGATACAACTGTATAAAGGAATCCAGTGAAAAAAGGTCTTGTATTTTGCTCTTTGTATTTTTACCTTCCTCCATCGGGGAAGGCCTTTGTGTTCACTTGTCTCAGGGTGTTTCCCGGGCCAGAAGCAGGTGCTGATTCTTTTACAAAAGGCTGATCAGTAGTGGAAATTCAGACATCCTGAGGGGCAGAGCTGGTTTCATAACACTGGAAGCATCAGGAAATAGGACTGTGGTGGAGGGTTCTTTGCCCTCTAAAGGGCAACCAAAACAAACCAAAACCAAAAACAAGTTTAATACTGAATGTGAAGGCTGGAGGAAACAGGCTGAGCTCATGTTCTTTGGTCTACTTGCTCATAATTGCCTGGAGGGACTGGGCTGGGGAAGCAGGGAGAGAGGAGGGCCTCTGAGAATGAGGCAGGAGATGGCATTGTCCATCTTTACTTGGGAAAGATTTGCCAAGGGTGAAGAAGGGGCACAGATCAGCAGGGGCTTGGGGGGTGTGGCACAGAGTGGTGGCAGGACCTGGTGGGAGGGCAGGTACCCTGTAGCCATGGTGGGATTCCTACAGTTGAGTCTCTGGTGATCACCAGGTCTGGGGATTATGCTAGAACCAGTAAGTCCTGAAGACCCAGGGGGCTGCTCTTCTGTTTTGCTGTTTCTTCTGAGACTTGGGACCTTTGGGGAATTCAGTAGGGGAGCCTCCAGGGAAATCTACTACCTGTTGGTGGCATGGGACCTTGGGAGAAGATTTGAATTAAAAACAATAACATAAAGTGACATTTCCTGCATATTTTGCATCTGTGGAGTACAGTTCATTCTTACTATTATTGTAATAGTGAAAAACTGGGAATGATTTTTGTTAAATAATAAACAGTTTAAATAAATTATGGTATAACCATACCATGATATCTACAACTACATTGTTTTGCAAAGATGTCTGTCATATACTGTTACATGAAAAATTCAGGTTATAAATTAGCAAGCATAGTTTGATTATACTTTAATTAAAAAAAAGAATGTTGGTGTACATGTGTGTCTTCATAAAGATATGGGTAGACTAGGTCTGAACATACATACTTTTTAATGTTTACTAGTGGCTGTCTGTATTATTGAGATTATGAGTAATGTCTTGTTCTTATTTATTGTATTTGTTATTGGTGAACACTATTACCTAAAAAGAATAAAAATTATTTTAAAAACCTGAGGCCTTCAATGTATCTTTTTCTGTTCAGATGGTATTGCAGAAATATGAACAGAAGCAAAGCAGAGCAACTCCTCAGAAGTGAAGTAAGTGTCTTTGTTTTGTGACTTTGGTTTCAGGAAAAATTAATTGTAATGATCCCTGATTAGTAATTCCACATACTCTGTTTCTAAAGCCTAAAAAATACAGTAAGTACAGGTTTGGGTTTTTTAATCATATAAAATGAATACTGGTGCATTAGTTTCTTAGGGCTGCCAAAACAAAGTACCACAAGCCATGTGGCTTTAACAAGAAAAATAGATTGTTTCATGGTTCTAGAGGTTAGACAGAAGTTAGAAACCGAGGTGCCGCCAGGGTTGGCTCCTTCGGAGGGTTGTGAGGGAAGGATCTATTCCAGGCCTCCCTCCTTTTTTCCCTGTGTTTTTCCATCAATGCATGATTGTCTCTTATGTCCAAATTTCCCGTTTATAAGGATACAAATAATTCTGGATTAGGGCCCCACCCTAAGGGCCTCATTTCTAGATCCCCTCTGTAAACCTGGTATATTCTGAAGTCCTGGGGGTTAGGAGTCCGACAATCTTTTCTGAGGGGAGCAACAAGCGCAAACCAATAAGTAATAGCTATACACAAGTAGTATTTTCTTCACTGTCTTTCTGACTGATTTATCATTTGCTACCTTGATTTTAGTACTTAAATGTGTTTTTCCATTTTGCTTGAAGTTATTTGTTTTGAAAAAATTTACATCAGTATTACATGATCCTTTTGTAAGTGAAGTTTTAATAAAACATCGTGTTGCCTTTAGAAAGAAATGTGCCCAAATCCCCACACTTTAAAAAGAAATAAAACAAAAGAGAAGCTATAGGATGGAGGAAGCTGCAGTGGACTGAGTAAGGAGGCTGGAGTCTAGTTGTGACTTTTCTAGTCTGTTTTTCACATCAGCAAGGGAAGGAGGTTGTGGATTAGAAGATGTTCTGTAATTCTCTGCATTTGTGATGTAGCTGTTCTATTTGGTAATAGTTCCCAGTCTTTTAAGTCCATGCTTTCTCATTTTGTCTTCTGCTTACAGCCACCAGTCAAGGTTTTGTTGGGTACTTGTTTCTGCAGTTTATGTTGAGAGCAATAACAGCTGATTTTGCTTCATTCCAATGACATGTAACCACGCCTACTCCCCCACAGGGAGTAGCACATTGCCTGCGCCATGACCCCACAATGAGAGGAAGCTTTAGGGGAGTGGGTAGCCAGAAGGCCTGGGATTCAATTCCTGCCTCTGCTACTTTGTAGCTGTGTGACCAGGGCAAGTCACTCACCCTTTCTGTGCCACATTTCCGTATCTGTAAAATAAAGTGGGGGCAACAGGAGTACCGACCTCTTAGTGCTGTTCTGAGGAGAAAGCAAATTCACATATTAGAACATACTAAAGCAGACTAAGTTCTCAATAAATATGTGGTAGCTACTATACTTTTTACTGACTGATTAACTATTATGGCTATTGTCTTTGTTCCTATCAGATTTTTTTGTGGGACTTTATTTTGTCCCATGAATAAGAATAAAATTTTCTTGGCTTCTGTTTCTTGCTCTTTGTCTTAGAACCTGATGAGGATTTCTCTCTTAGTCATTCGGTGTATTCTCTGCCTTTTGATTTTCTCTAAGTTACTTGTGCCTCCCTTTCTCCTTTTGTGAAGAGTGATACTTAATGTGAATTTCCAGGGGAATTAAGGACTTTTTAAAATGTTCTTACAAAGAGCACTGAAGTATTTATAGGAAGAATGCCGTGTGGGTAGAAGATCATATTGAGTCAGGATTCAAAGCTTATAGCAAATACAAAAAATGTATGAAATGGAACCCAATCATTAAGAAATACATTTTTCAGTAACTGTTCTCCCCCATGAACTTAAAGGAGCTACGGGCTCTTGTTTGTTAGTTTTGGAGGGGCCCTGAGAGATTATCTTGTTGAAATGTTTCATACTGGCATGTGTGCAGGTTTGTGATTGTGGGGAAGTGTGAGCAAGGCTCCCTTTCGCTAATCTCAAGGCTCAGTATGAAATGGAAAGTTACGTGGATGTCGCCTGTTTGTAAACGGTGCTTCTCCACAGCAGATTTCCTGGGCAAAGGATAGTAATCATAAAATCGTTAAGATTTGGTTCTTGAATCTCTTCCATGGCACTGATATTTGTTATTAGATTGAAAATTTTTTCTTAATTTGGTTTTTAGGATAAAGAAGGTGGTTTTATGGTAAGGGATTCCAGTCAACCAGGCATGTACACAGTCTCCCTTTATACAAAATTTGGAGGGTAAGTAATCCCACTCTCTCCCTTTTTTATTTAGAGTTCTTATATGAAGTTCCTATTTAGTTTGTATGAACTGCTAATTTCCCAAAAATATGCTGCATTTTAGCATTAAAAAGAAAACTGTTCCAAACTTGATTTCTAAAGTCTGTACTCTTTTTATATTCATATTTCAGTAATTTTCCTTGTAGTTTTCCATATGTTTTTGTTGAGAATGGCTATAGTAACATGAGCAGCATTCAGTAAAGAATTACTGTGCACCATACTAAGCACTAAAGATACCACAGTGAGCAGAGTAGACACAGACCCTGCCCTCCATTAGTTGAGGGGGCTTCAGATAGGCAGACAGACAGTTATGGTGGTATATGTGTAAGTGCTGTGCTAGGAGGGCAGTGCCTGTGTGAGTGCTAGAGGCTCATCTGAATTAGTCATCAATGTTGTCTATGGACATCCAAGCTGACACCTGATGGGTGCAGCAGCAAAAAGAAGTTGGAGGAAGGGGAAAGAGTGCTTCTGACCCAGGAACCTGCCTGGACCCAGAAGTGAGGGAGGATGTGATGAGCTCAAGGAACTGACAGAAGTGTATTGCAGCTGGATTGTAGAATGGGAGAGGCAGGTGAAGGGAGTAGAGAGAAGCCTGAGACATCAAAGTGGGGGTCAGGGCACGTCAGTGTTGAGGAATCTGAGCTGTATCTTAAGAGTAGCAGGAGTTCTCTTGAAAGGGTTTTTTAGGAAGAGATAACTTGAGAGGATCTGCATTCTAGAAAGACATCTGAGATAGAAGTTGTACATTTTTTGTAAGTCTAGTTTATTCACTTTTAGAGATATAAGGCCACTAGACGTTTGTACCAAGAGCAGGGACAGAAACTGGTAACCATCTAATAGCTATTTTAAGACTTCTAACCATTTGTAAATGGAGTCGGTAAATATTCTGTTTCACAGTCTCATGCAAGGGACCAATCATGTTATCATGACCACTTTAAGAACGTCCACTTACCAAGGTGAAAGGCAAAGCTAAGAGGAACATGGGAAAAAGTGAAAGTTGTACAGAGAATAGAAAGGGTGATGTGTGGGGACCCTCTGGTTACCAGGTTAGAAAGCATTTTAACAGTGAAGTGACATTATTCCTGAAAGGGTATCTCGCCACGACCCTCCTCACCCAGAATGACTCTGGAGACACGGGCCCACGCAAGAGACTTTATTATCTGTAGGAGAGAGTGGCTGCCCCAGAGGGGGGTGTGGGGGGAGAGAGAGAGAGAGAGAGGGAGCAGCAGAGAGAGCAGAGATCAGAGAGAGCAGGGAGAGCAGGGGGACAGAGACAGAGACAGAGAGATAAAGAGAGCAGCGAGACAGACAGACACACGGAGACAGAGAGGGCAGCAGTGTGGTGCCTGTTGCTTTGGGGGAGGGTCGGGATGTTTAGAGATAAGGCAGGGTAAGCCCCAGGCAAACCCAGGCAACCCCAGGCATAATTCTCACTGGTTTATGTGCTTGGGACCATAGGGTAAATGGAGGATAAATTGCTATATTCTTACATTCCTCCCTTTTCTGTTTTATAAGTGGTAGAGGATTTGGGAAGGGGTGAAGGTCAGTCTTCAGTAACTGCTTCCTGCTGATTAGGGGCAATGAAGTTCATTTTTGTATTGATGGGGGGCGGACCTCAGATGAGCCCTTGGTCTGCAGTGGCGATGGCATTTTCCAGGTTCAATAAGGGTCATGGTCTTTGGAGAGGGGTTGGTAATCCTGTAATATAAGCTGGTTAAAGGTTTGGTTAGAAATTTTTTTGCATTTGGGCTAATTGCTATGTTTACATAGGGTGGCTGAATTAATAGCATTTTGGGGGACATATGTGTAGGCAGCAAAGCAACCTGTAGGGCAAAGGGAATCCTTGATGGTACAATCTTTTGGACAGTCTGACAGAGAAGAAAGGGCTGGCATTGGGAAGATGGGTCTGGTGAGAGAGTAAGTGTTGAGACCAGGGTTAATAATCCTGAGGCATGACGCATGGTGGTTGTAAGGGAGGTCTTAGGACTCTGTGCTGGCAGAAACTTCTTCAGTGATGAGTGAAAGTGGAGATGAGCAGTGCGAAATGCGGAGAGTAAGAGGTTCCATCAGGGTGGAGGAGTAGGAACCTGTGGGAGATTTGTGGGAGGGGAATAAGCTGAGACAAATGGCTTAAGGTGGGAGTTGTGTATCTAATGGGGAAGACCTGGCGTGGAAAGGATTACTGTGTATGGTCTTTGCCGTTTGGGAGTTAGGGATGTGTTGCTTGGTGTTTGGAATGGGCATGGTTTGGAGAAGTTTCTTCCTGTCTATGGTAATGGCCTTGTAGCACGGGGAGAGCTGAATTCCCAGGTATGTATGTGACCTGAGCGGCAGACAGCTGAACTTTGGAGGGTGAAATGCCATAGCTGTGTTCTGAGAGAAAGTTTGAAAGGAGAATAATATCTTGTTGAGAGGTTTGTAGGAAGGGACTGCACAGGAGGAGATCATCTACATATTGAAGGAGGGTGGAGCTCGAGAGAGTAAGGGATTTGAGGTCTTGTGTTAGAGCCTGTCCAAAAAGGTGGGGACTATCTCTAAAGCCTTGGGGAAGGACTTGTTAAGTGTTCTCTGAATATTAAAAATTAACTTAACATAAGGAATTTCCTGCCTTGATTTTTCTCTGGGACACCGGTGCCTTTGTCTGGGAGCATATCAAAAGGCTGCCTGCTCAGCTCCCAAGGTGGACTGAGGTATTGTCTATTTGCTAAAGAATCCTGCCTTTTACTATGCTGTGTACAGCTGGGTCTGCATGCTAAGTTAGCTGCTCAGTTTGCAAAATAACCTCATCAGATCTGAAGGAGGAAAGACAGAACATAGGCTTGGGCCTTTTAGTATGCTAAAGTAATCTTATACAGAATTACAAATGATTAGCATAATAAAACATGTGCTACTCTTCTTTATCTGGGGAACATTAACTGATCTCACTGAAGAATGTTCAACAGTTTTAGTAGGGGGGGGAGGTTCCTAGCATGTAATTTTACATTGCTCTGACTGCAAATATCCTGCCCTGCTTTCTTCAGAGGCTCTCACTTATTCTAAGCCTATGGTCCCTGTCTCATTCTCCCCTCTACAGATAGAGAGACTCTAGCTGCTGCTAGGGAAAAGGGGTGACAACTGCTCTGGCTGCTTCATGCTGAGAGGGGGCGCAGTAAAGGGTGCAGCTAGGTCTCCATCACTGGTCAGTTGAGAGGGCCTCGGAAGGTTGGCACTTCTATTCTGGGTTTCATTTCTATTACTATTTGCAGTTTTGTGGCTTTTAGGCAAGATAGAACAAATTGTTATTAGGTTAAGTAGCAACATCTGGAGTTGGATTTTCCATTCTGGAAGGACAAACTTGACGAGATTAAGAATGTATGGCTGAATATGAGAACTAGAAATATGAAGAGTCTAATTGAGAATCATAGCTAGGTATCATGGGGAAACTAGAATTCTGGATCGAGTTTACATCTCAATGACTAGTATTAGGATTTAGTATAGATAAGACTGAATTATTGAAACAATACTTTTCTCTAAAATCACTCTCATTTTTATTAGAAGTATCCAGATTAAGTAAACAGTTAACAGTTGGCTTGATTATTTGCGTAAGTGCAGCAAGAAGAGCAATTGATTACATGGGATCTTCTAAATGTGCTTTGCTGGAACTTTTTGTAAGGAATTTCAGATTGAACTTTTAAAGGCTTCTCGAGGCCAGACAGCTAAGCCAGACTTGCTATCAGGTTGTGCCTGCAGTACCTGTAGATTTGGGTGAATTCCTCTCTTCCTGAGGTTCCTGCACCTGCCAGGAAGTGACCTTCCTTACTCACCTGGTAAGGCTGCTGGGAACTCTGTAAGCAAGGTACCAGGCCAGTTCTTCTAAGGGGCTTTGTTGGCTTTAAAAGTCAATCTTAGTTCCTTAAAGCTGTTCATATCTGAGTTTACACACGTGTCTCTCAGGTATGACATCCAGTCCAAGCCTTGGTAATATAACCAATGTTTTTAATTGGTCCTCTTACAAGGAAAGCAGATTCTTATTGAACTTGTGCAAATAAACATACTGCCATGAAATATAAAAATAGTCACTGACAGTTTTTAAATTCTGGAGGGATCAGGTAGAGAGAAAGATAAAGTTTCAATTCTGCTTATAAAGGCAGTCATTTACTAAACTGTTGTCAGCTTAAGAGAAAAAGCTTAAAACACTTTGTCAACAACATTTGAAACAAAAAGCCACAAAATTATCTTCCTTAGTTCACTTAATCCTATGTAACTAATACTTGTTCTGCTGAAATCTAGTTTTTTACTAGTTTAGGAGAAATAAAACAGTGAGTATAGATGACAAAAGACTTACAAATGACAATGGTTAAAGATCTGATGAGAGCTTACTGTAAGACAGTTGTCATAAGTAAATTTGGACATTTCTGTAACATAAAACATTCAGTAACAAAGTTTAGCATCATTCTCTGTGACAGTGCCTTCTAGGTAATTAAGCAGGTAAATAAGCCAAATTAGCTAAATATTTTCCTCAATGAGAAAAAATTCCTCTGACATGTTCCAGGGGCCCTCTGGAAAATATCAGAGTGAACTAGAGGTAAAAAGCATCTTTTTGAATTTGGTTTTGGGAAGCTGTTAAAAGTTTTAAGGCACTTGCTTAAATAGTTACTCAACATTAGACAAAGCTACACTTCACTTTAAGCATTTTTTCCTTGAAAGATTTAACAGATACCATCAACTTAAATGACTTTAGAAAAACTTAGGCAGCTGATAACCATAAGGACATGTCTATTATTCAGTTCAACTTAAATTAGCATTAATGCTTAATATCCTCTATTAGAATTTTCTGGAACTTTTAGAATGCCCAATTTTTACAAGCGCTTGTCTTTAAATCAATTTTTGTTAATACCATCTGGAGGTAGAAAAATATTTTTCATTTACACACTTAGACACAGACATAATGATACAGTGAGAGGACAGACAGAGCTCCTGGCATGAGCCAGGAAGGGACAAGAGAGCCCGTGGTGGTGCATTGTCTAGGAGTTTTATAGGCTTTTGAGGATATTTGGGAACGTGAAAAAAGCATAGAGGTGAGGACTTTAAGGACTACTAGGATTGCAGGGGAGACAGACAGAAAGCTTGGTTTGGAGGTAGGAGAAAGCCTGGATATATGGGATCTCTTCCCATTTGCCCGTACGCTCACAGAAGTTGTATAAGTCGCGGAGAATTTTAGGATTTAAAGAGCCATTGGGGGGCCATTTAGACTGATTGTCCAAGGGATATTGTGGCCAGATCTCATTACAGTAGCGAACAGTTTTGAGGTCTGGAGTGAGGTGGAGGGGCTTTAGATTATTGACTAAGCACCCTAGCTGTGAATCTGCAGGAATGGAGGGTCCAGATCCCATGGTGAGAACAAGACCATTCAGAAGTCGCTGAGGCGTCCCTGAGCGATTGAGAAGGTCACGGAGAAGACCAGGCACAGTTAGGAGGTCGTCACCACCTCTAACTGCAGGGTCAAGGCAAAAACACCGGGGAGGCTTGGTACCTGGTACCAGGAGTTTTCAAGTAGAGTAGAAACGTAGATAAAGGGAGACCGGGCCTCAGTGGATGAGGATTCTCACCATGGGGAGGCAGAGAAGGGTCAACTATGGGGATCAACCGTGACTCTGAAAGTCATGGTTGGGGGTGCCCCTGTCCCAGAGGAGCCCTTGGGGGTGCCGGACACTCAACGGTCACTTCCCAGGTTCCAAAGGGATATGCAAGCCCAGGCATAATTCTCACCAGCTTATGTGCTTGGGACCATGGGGTAAATGGAGGATAAATTACTATATTCTTAAAATTCCGACTTGGTTCTAACACATTTTGATTTTGTTATAGAGAAGGCTCATCAGGTTTCAGGCATTATCATATAAAGGAAATGGCAACATCCCCAAAGAAGTATTATCTGGCAGAAAAACATGCATTTGGTTCAATTCCTGAGATAATTGAATATCACAAGCACAATGCAGCAGGTAAGTGAGCTGTTAAAACCTGTTTCAAATAAAGGTAGTGACTAAAATGATCAGACATTGTGATGAATTATTAAGCAGTTTTATTTTGTAGGTAATTGTAGAATGTGATTGTCTTAAAATTACTGCATATTAAGGAAGTGATTTATACAAAGGAAAATCAGAAATAATATCATATTTTATAAAAAGCTCTATCTTGACCTTAGTATATGAGTTACTTTTATATATGGTATATGGTGAATGTTCACGTTTCTGTGGTTTATATCCTTGGTACTGACAAAGGTTCTTTGCTTGACCAAACTTGAGTCAGGCTCCTGAATCATGTCCCAGGCCCACCTGTGAACACCCAGTTTTAGGAGGAAGCCTGCTAAGTCAGTGTAACCAAACTCCTTATCCTTGATGTCTGATACCTGATCACCGTCAGTGTGTGACGATGCTCCTCATGGTGCCCCATCCCCTTGGGGCGTGTGGCCGCTCTGGTTGGTCTCCAGCAAGAATCCTGTGGGATTGGTTTGCCCAGAATTGCACCCCCTTCCAACCGGTGTTTCTCTTAGTGATTTTTCCGCTGACCCACCAGCCTGCTGCTTAGCTATAAAGTCCTACTTGCCTACACTGTGCTTGGAGTGGAGCCCAATCTCTTCCCTGCTCTAAAATCCCATTGCAGGGGTCTCTATGCCAGTCACAGTGACCCTGGATAAAGTTGGCCTTACCCTCTTTTAATGTGTCATTGGATTTTGTTTTCTTGAACAGTGCTAAACTAAACTCAAAGATATGTCTATTCAAGTTGTCACAGAGGCTGCCAGATGAGCCCAGGGCTTTGGCCTGTGCTACATGGGCTAAAAAGGGTAGAGTAATGATGTCCCAGACAAGGTTTCCACCCTCCTGCATCTCTGCTGCACTTACCCCCAGAGTGGGAGTGAACCGAAAACCAAAACAGAAACCACATTTATGCCCAGTGAGGCTCCCCAGGATGAGATGAAAGGTTTCTGACCATGAACTTCAAAGATGTAACTGAGCAGGGACTAGCCAAGTATCTAACCCAGTTTATGGAAAATTAACTTTTGAAATTTTATTAAAGGCACCTTCTGTGAAGTCTGTTGCTATTTGTGATTCTGTTCACTTTCCTCAGATAATGATAGGAGCAGTTATTTAATGAGAGATAATTTATATATCATAAAGGTCACACATTTAAAATACATGGTTCAGTGGCCGTTAGTGTATTTAGAGGGTTGTGCTGACTAACCATAACGTAAGAACATTAGCAGTCATCTCCTGGCGCCCCCTTCACGCTTTCAGCCTTATGCAACCACTGATCTACTTCTTTCTCTACCGATTTGCCTATTCTGGACATTTCATATAGATGGAATCACAGAATATGTGGTCTTCTATGACCAGTGTCTTTGACTTGGCATAATTGTTTTGCAGTTCCTCTTCAAAACCTGTATAAATACTGTAGCCTGTACTCCATTCCTTTTTATTGATGAATAATAATCTATTGTATGAATTTTGTTTATCTATTTCGTTGCTCATCAATTGTTGGACATTTGGGTACTTTCTACATTTTGCCTATGAATAATGCTGCTGTGAACAGTTGTGTACAAATTTCTGCATGGCAATGTTTCATTTCTCTTGGATACCTACCTGGGCATGGATTTGCTGGGTGAATGGGTTAAACTTATGGGTTAAAGGTTATGTTTAATATTTGAGCAACTAATTTCCTATCCATTTATCCCTCAAAGAACTTTTCCTTCCCTCTTATTCTGTTATTTTCTTTTTCATTGTTCACATTTCCCTATTTCTTTCATATGTGTTCTTGTATAAATTTCATTCTTCACCATTACCTCAACTTAACAAACATGTATTTAGTGCCTACTGTCTGCCAGGAACTGTGCCAGGTTCTATGGAGTCTGTTATTGATTCTGTCTTTCCTAGATCTTACTATGGAGGTTGGGGAGACGGGGATGGGAACAGAGATGTACATAACAATTTTAAATTACTGAGATGTACTGTAATATAAGAATGCTGTGGGTGTTTATAGGAAAGATCCCTAACATTTGTCTTATTTCATATTCTAAGCATCTTAGGTTAAAGGATTTAGTATACCTCACTAATATCCAGTAGTTAGTATTCCCAGTTGTTGATATCTTAGAGCTTGATTTTTATGCAAAGATTACTAATATTGAGCTGTGTCAGTTGAATCACTTAAATTTTTATTAGACCACTGTAATTCCTTTTCATAGTTTAGATCTCATCTTGGGAAAGAATATGAAATAATAATTAATGATAACTGTTAGAAACCTTTTAACATCCTTTAAAAGATTTTAGAAGAGAATATGCTAGCATAGGGCCTGCTAAACACTGTAGTATTTAAAAGAAAATGTTTGTTGAATGAATACAGGAATATATGTACTTAAATGTTTTATGCTCCACAGAAATACTAAATTGTCAACTCAGAGAGTAGAATCATCTTCCTTCCTACCTTCCTCTTTATTTTTTGCCAGCATTGAGTGCAGTGCTGTTATGTACATAAGTGAATAAATGAATGCATCTTATAAATGAGTTTCTCATTTAGCACTTTACCAGGTGGAAGGATTAAAAGTGAATTAGACTGCAGTACTTGCTTTGATTTCTAGGACTTGTCACCAGGCTGCGGTACCCAGTCAGTGCGAAGGGGAGGAACGCGCCAACCACTGCAGGATTCAGCTACGGTCGGTAACTCATTTTGTAGTTTCATTGACTAATCTTGCTTGAAAAGAATCCATTAGCACAAGACCAGTTGAGATGTGTTAGAATCCTACAGAGTGGAACAATTTTTATAAGTCTATAGCATGGGTTTTTAGATCATTCTACTTCTAACTAATAATCCTAGGTTTTCTGTTTTCATCATTATTCATAATTCAGCAGAAAACTTTGTTTGTGAAAAATAAGCATGATCATGTAACATCTCAAATAAATCAAAGCCTTTCCTGGTTCTCCCCGGCGTTGCTGGTCACTCAGATGAAAGTGAGGACAGCGGTAGTAGAGAAGGCATCCAACTTGATCGTCTTTGTTGCTTCCTCCCAAAGCCTTTTAAACAGCAGGTTAAATTATTTCCAACTTGATGTATTGGGAAACAAACAAACAAATCTGGAGGGGGGAGAATAGGAAAGGAGGAAGTATTTGTTTTTTCCTTTTTTTTTTGAAAAGTGCCCCGAACCTTCAAGCTCTCCTGTTATTTACCTATTACTTGTCACCTTCTTGCCTTCAGTCCACCTTGCTTAAAAGGGTGGTGCATCCTCCCCGAAGGGTTGAAGGCTGCCTTTTATAGTTTAGAGGCAGGTTGCAAAGTCTGCTCCGTGTTTTGCCAGTAATTATTTTATCCCGTACCTTCGAGTTGAGCTTGGTTATAGTTTCTTTGTTTCCCACAGATGCATGCTGTGTTCTCTAAATTTTCTCATGTTCCTTCTCTGTTTCACAGAAAAATGGGAGATTAACCCTTCGGAGTTGACCTTTATGAGGGAACTGGGGAGCGGACTGTTTGGAGTGGTGAGGCTTGGCAAGTGGCGAGCTCAGTACAAAGTAGCAATCAAAGCTATTAGGGAGGGTGCCATGTGTGAGGAAGACTTTATAGAAGAAGCTAAAGTGATGATGTAAGTTACTGTTCTTTCCGGTTCCCCTTTTTGCATTAAATGTGGCCCCTCACCAGCTAAAACCCCTGGTGGTTTCTTTTCCTATAGTAACTATATGTATGCATGACTTCCTTCCCAGGAAACTGACACACCCAAAGTTAGTACAGCTTTATGGTGTGTGCACCCAACAGAAACCCATTTACATTGTCACCGAGTTCATGGAAAGGGGCTGCCTTCTGAATTTCCTCCGACAGAGACAAGGCCATTTTAGTAGAGATGTGCTGCTGAGCATGTGTCAAGATGTGTGTGAAGGGATGGAGTACCTGGAGAGAAACAGCTTCATCCACAGAGATCTGGTAATCAAAGCATCTGTATTCCCATTCACTGGCCAAATTCCTTTGTAGCCCTGGGTCAGCAAATGAGCAGTGATGTATTAATGCCCAATTTTTATCCTCAGCAGTATTTCACCATTACCTTTAAATCTGGTAAGTTTAATTTACCCCATAATTTTAACAGAAAGATCTTTATTAAATCGAATACTTGTAATACATAATTACATGGCAATTGTATAAATAATACATAATTACATAGGTAATATTTCCAAGCCAGTTGAATTAATTATTTGATCTCCATAAGAGTCTCATGAAATAGCTGGCCAGTCTTTCTGACCATTATTGTTTTGCAGAAGATACTAGCTTTGGAGAAGTGAAATTAGTTGCATATGGTAACAGATGGGGAAGTTAGGGTTCACTTATCCTTTGAGTAAATCCTAACCTCTTTTCCACCTCATGTACTGTAAGCTGAAGCTGTAGAAGTCCTCAGTTCATTTTCTTTATTTCTCAAATCACTGGAAAAAGATGGAGACCATGTTAATTCCTGAAAATAACAGAAAAAGTAATTTATTACTGGTTTCCAATTATTGTGATAGAGACACTTCTTAATTTTCCTTCTCTCTTCTTTCTTCTTTCCTCCATTCTTCATTTTCTTTTTCTTCTCTTCTCTGCCTGTTTTTTCCAAATATGTCTATTTTCGCCATCTTGGGAGAATCATCAATCCCTGTTAAACCTTGAAGATGATTCTTCCACCAAAAGGAATGTGATTCTCAGTTTCTCAGTTGGAACTTTTCCCCATATTTTAGTTTTAACTTTCTTGTCATGAAGCTTTGTGGGGTAAACTTTAGAATTTCCAGAATCTCCCGCCTAGCCTTAGTCTATTTACACATCAGTAGGTGTTTATGCCGCATCAGGGGCAAGGGGTGGAGAGAAAGTGGCCATTCTCTTCTCCTGGTACATAGTTGGGCTGGTGTCTGCCAGCCACCAAGGACTGGCCCATGGGGTTCCTCCTGGAAGGGGCAGGTGGGGAAGCAGAGAGTGCACCATGGCTGCAGAGAAACAGGGCATGGAGCGGGCTTGGCTAGTGGTGACTGGGGAGAAAGGACTTGGGGAGTGTGCACGCCATGGCCATGAGGAATGCGTGGAGCTGTGCCTGGCCAATGAATTCGAGCAAGCTGTGAGCAGTAAAATGGTTTCTCCCAATCTGCCCTTCCCCTTGCCTTACTTTGGTTTCACTGGATTCATAGGGGAATTTGCTCCAGGAGGAGGACCCCCTTCCCCACCCAGAGCTACAAGTTTATTTGCATTATCTTCTAGAGCACTAGCAAAGCATTCTTAAAGAAATTTAATAATCACCTTAGGCATTACTCCAGTAGATATTTAACACACATCAACTCATTTAATTATAACAACCCAAAGGAGTAGGTACTGTTCCTGTTCTTATTTTACATATGAGGAAACTGAGGTGCAAATAGGATAAAATCACTTACCAATGGTCAAGTAAATTATGGAGTCTGGGTTTGGACCTAGGGAGTTTGGCTCCAGAGTCCACACTGACTACTATGCTATGCTCTCTCTATATTTAGGGTATAATAAAGAGTTGAGGATTTGTAAGCAGAAGACTTGATTTCTAGATGTGTTTTAGGATGGTTACCTGAACTCTTGGACTCTATTTCTGCATTTATAAACTATGGGTCATAATATTGTTTTTGCTTACAACACTGTTCCTGCCCCCAGTCTTATTGAGGTATAATTGACAAATAAAATCGTATATATTAAAAGTGTGCAACATGATGACTTAATGTACCTGTACATCATTTAATTAACATATGCATCACCTCACATAATTTCCTCTCTGTGTTTGTGGTGAGAACACTTAAGATGTACTCTTAGCAAATTCTAAGTATACAGTACAGTATTCTTAATTATACTTATTATGCTACACATTAAATCCTCAGAATTTATCTTGTGAGAGTTGTTCACTTGGACCAACATCTCCCCATTTCCCCAACCCTGCACCTGGCAGCTACCATTTACTCTCTGTTTTTATGAGTCCACTTTTTTTTTTTTTGTAGAGAGATTCTATATGTAAGTGATACCATTCAGTATTTGTTTTTCTCTGCCTGGCTAATTTCACTTAGCATAGTGCTCTGCAGTTTCACACAGTGTTGCAAATGACAGGACTTTCTTCATTTTTATGGCTGAATAATATTCCATTATATATATATATATATATACCATGCCATCTTTATTAACTAATCCATTGATGGACACTTAGATTGTTTCATATCTTAGCTATTGTGAATAATGTTACTATGAATATGGGAATACACCTATTGAGGTACTGATCTTATCTCTTTTGTATATATAGTCAGAAGTGGGATTGCTGGATCATCTGATAGTTCTATTTTTGATTTTTCAAGGAGCCGCCATACTGTTTTCCATAATGGCTATACCATTCGCATTCCTACAACAATATACAAGAATTCCCCTTTCTCCAACTTTTCTTCTTTGCCAACATTTATGTCTTGTGTTTTTGAGAATAGCCATCCTAACAGGTTAAAAGGGACATCTCATTGTGGTTTGATTTGCATTTCTGTGATGATTAGTGACGTTGAACATCTTTTCATGTACCTGTTGTCTATTTATATGTCTTTTGAAAAATGTGTATTCAGGTTCTTTGCTCACTTTTTAAATTGGATTATTACTTTTGTACGCTATTGAGTTGTATCAGTTCCCTATACATTTGCTATATTAACCCTTTATCATATATATGGTGTGCAAATATTTTTTCCCATTCTTTAGTTTGCTATTATATATATATATATATTTTTTTTTTACAAGCACAAGATTTTTATTAGACTCAACAGACAAAATATTACTGCCAATTGCTTTAAAAGTTTCTACATGCTTCAAGACCTTGTTGGAAGATTTTTAAAAATTTTTTATTAAGGTATGATTGATATACACTCTTATGAAGGTTTCACATGAAAAAACAATGTGGTTACATTTACCCATATTATCAAGTCCCCACCCATACCCCAATGCAGTCACTGTTCATCAGTGTAGCAAGATGCCAGAGATCCACTATGTCCCTTCTCTGTGATGCACTGTTCTCCCCGTGATCCCCCACGCCATGTGTACTAAACATAATACCCCTCAGTCCCCTTCTGCCTCCCTCCCCACCCACCTCCCACACCCCTCCCCTTTGGTAACCACTAGGTCATTCTTGGAGTCTCTGAGTCTGCTGTCATTTTGTTCCTTCAGTTTTGCTTCATTGTTATACTCCACAAATGAGGGAAATCATTTGGCATTTGTCTTTCTCTGCCT